GGGGCGTTTTTCATTACTTTCTAAAAAAAACCCCCAGTAAATGTTTCCCTCACAACCCCCGCCCCGTCCCAGCAAAACAAATGTAGTACGAAAAAAAGGAAAGGGAATGAGAAGCAAAAAAAGGATGTGTGGCTGAATTTTTTTTGGTGTGTTGAAAACTATTGTGTTTCGTTTACCTCCCTTCGGCATAGTAAATCATCTTGACAGCTACATCTGGGTTTCAAACCTACCTTCCTTTCCAGAGAGTGACGAGTCGACGTGGACGGGGGCAACGCCTTTGTTAATTTGGGAGAATCCTAAGTCTAAGTCACTCAAGCGTGATGTGAAGTCAACGTATACATATTATTATCTATTCTAAAGATGGTAGTCCACTTATACATTCATATGAACGTAATAATAATAATGATAATTATAGATATTGCATTTATACAGCAGCGATCTATCCCGGTACTAGGACCAAGCACGAAGTATACAGATTATGGTCTCGACGTTTAATCATAATGACGTAAAATGACATGATTGAGAAGGGGAAAAAAGAGGATGTTGACATCCTATCATGGGGATCGTGTATTTGTTTAATAGATTTACGCAGTATTTACCCGCTAGGGTATTTCCCGAGAAACTTTAAAGTTTGTCTGACGTTGGTTAGACTTCCTCCTGGGCTCAAAACGCGTTCACTTCAATCGAGATCAGTAGATCTAGTTCCTGTACCATTTGCGTGCACCGAACTGTGTCGCTCTATCTGTTGGGTAGCTGGGGCTGATGGTTGTGAGCAGAATAGAAGAGTTTTATGTGCTATACTTCCTTTTTTTCAGAAGTCAAAAGTGTCTTTAGATAAAAGGTCAAGAATGCATGATAATTTCGAAGACAGGTCATTTATAATTTATAAGTCCCCCCCCCCCCCCCCGATATGACATTGGGTAGAGAGAAAATATAACAAGTGGTTGGAAGGTGCCTCTGGTAGGTTACACTTTTTTTTTTACTCTCCCTGTTTTATCCTGTTGATCTGTTTTTGGATTAATTTCCGAACACTTGGTGAACGTTATTGTGTGGATATGCCTTTTGATTAAAAAAAACAGCCCTCGAATAAACCAAAAGAAAATAAAGAACGAGAAAGTATTCCAGGAAAGGTGAGGAAACGTTGACTCGCCTCTCGCCTTTGAACATCGAACTACCTCGGTTGGATACGTTTATGACCTATAACTCAAGAAAGAAGACGTTTATTTCGACCTTCATTGTATTATTGGATTAATTCATGCCAACGGTTTACTGCAGAATGCTTCGGCTTCTGCTTTTTGAGCAACTTACATTGTTAGAAAAGAGGCGGATGCAGATGGGAGAGGGGGAGATAATACATCAGGATGAGGTCCGCAAGATGCGCTGCGAAGATAAACTGTTGCTCGGAGTGAGCACTTGAGCTGTTGCACCACCAGAAACCCGCGCGCATTGTGTCTGCCACGTGAGCAGTTTAAAGGGGCCAAGTGGTGAAAGTGAAACCTTCTTCCTGTTTTTTTTTTCCAGCTTCTGGGTGCTTCAGGGTGCTTCTGTTTCAATTGTCTCCTTTTTGGCTTTTTGCTTGACTGTCTCATCATGTTTCCTTTCCAACGCTGTTGTTGTCCTGTCCGGTTTTGCGCAGTTTGCATTTTCATTGGTTTAGTTTATGTCCTGTTGTGGTGTATTATAGAAGTCGATGGAAGAATCAGTATAGTATAAATAAAGCAGGGGGGGGGGGGCACGCCTGACTTCCTAGTGGTATTTTCTCCTGCTCTCTCTCGCTCTCTCAGTCTGTCCCTCTCTCTCTCCCTCCCTCTCTCTCCCTCCCCCCGTTCTCCTCTCTCTGTCCCTCTCTCTGTCCCTCCCCCCGTTCTCCTCTCTCTCTCTTTCTCTCTCTCTCTTTCTCTCTCTCTCTCTCTCTCTCTCTCTCTCTCTCTCTCCCTCTCTGCAGCTGTCTTTTTTTGTCGCTATACAGTTCAGTCAGCCGGTAGGACACTTACGTGTATTTGGGTTGGAGCCGAAGTTGTTCAGTTGCCAAGGCTGTCAACTTTACCCCGTTGGGGATTAGCGTTAAAATTTTTTTATTCGCACAAAAGTCAAATCCTGACTGTGCCCGTTTCTCGCTTCCAAAAACAAAAAGAATTATTGCTTAGTGCCCGTGACAATCAGTAACACCTGGAAGAGATCATGAGCGTGGAAGTGTTCAACGAGCCACATTATTCATGCAGTTGTCGCTTACAATAATGACAAGTCGACTCGATTGACTCGCGATGTGTGTATCTATGTATTGTAATGTCGGGGGCACTCACTCAGTGGGTAAGGTACGTCGACCGTTCGCTCTTTCACTAACTTTCAGCATGCACGTCCATACACAGGGATGCCGTACGCAGCCGGAATAGCAAGTCTGAGCCAGCGGCAGATAACGGCACATGTCGG